TTTTGGGGTCGAATCCCCATTTTTGGGGTCAAATCCCCATTTTTGGGGTCGAATCCCCAATTTTGGGGTCAAATCCCCATTTTTGGGGTCAAATCCCCATTTTTGGGCTCAGTTCCCCAATTTTGGGGTCAAATCCCAATTTTGGGGTCAAATCCCCATTTTTGGGGTCAAATCCCCATTTTTGGGGTCGAATCCCCAATTTTGGGGTCAAATCCCCATTTGGGGTCTGGGGGGGGCCCGGCCCCGATTTTGGGGCGAATAAAGGCGGAAATGGAGTCTGGGGGTGCTCTCGTTGGGGGAGGGGATTTGGGGGGGAACCCCGCGGGTTTGGGGCTGAATCCCCATTTTTGGGGTCAAATCCCCATTTTTGGGCTCAGTTCCCCAATTTTGGGGTCAAATCCCAATTTTGGGGTCAAATCCCCATTTTTGGGGTCAAATCCCCATTTTTGGGGTCGAATCCCCAATTTTGGGGTCAAATCCCCATTTTTGGGGTCAAATCCCCATTTTTGGGGTCAAATCCCCATTTTTGGGCTCAGTTCCCCATTTTGGGGTCAAATCCCCATTTTTGGGGTCAAATCCCCATTTTTGGGGCTGAATCCCCATTTTGGGTGGTTTTGGGGCTCAGTTCCCCATTTTTGGGGTCAAATCCCCAATTTTGGGGTCAAATCCCAATTTTTAGGATGGTTTTGGGGCTGAATCCTCATTTTTGGGGCTGAATCCCCATTTTTGGTGATGAATTCCCCATTTTTGGGGCTCAATCCCCTTTTTGGGGCCAAATCCCGCGGGTTTGGGTGGGTTTGGGGCTGAATCCCCCATTTTGGGGCTGAATTCCCCTTTTTGGGAGGTTTTGGGGCCAAATCCCGCGGGTTTGGGTGGTTTTGGGGCTGAATTCCCAATTTTGGGGCTGAATTCCCCTTTTTGGGAGGTTTTGGGGCCAAATCCTCCTTTTTAGGGTGGGTTTGGGGCTGAATCCCCATTTTTGGGGCAGAATTCCCCTTTTTGGGAGGGTTTGGGGCCAAATCCTCCTTTTTAGGGTGCGTTTGGGGCTGAATCCCCATTTTAGGGGCAGAATTCCCCTTTTTGAGCCGGGTCTGTGGCCAAATCCCACAGGTTTGGGAGATTTTGGGGCTGAATCTCCTTTTCTGGGCGGTTTTGGGGCTGAATCCCCTTTTGGGTCCCAATCTCCCTTTTTTGAGCCGGGTCTGTGG